TAAAAGACTAACTTGAAATGTAAACTTTCACTTAAATTACAACAATAAACAAACAAAAAAGCTGTGAGGCCTGGGGCAAGTCACTTAAACTCTCCAAGCCTCAGTTTGTTCACATGTAAAATGGGGACAATGTTGCATTTCTCAGTGAATAATGACATGAAATAGCATATATGAAATGCCTGGCATAGAGGAGGGAGCCCTGGTGGCACAGCGGTTAAGAGCTCAGCTGCTAATCAAAAGGTCAGCGGTTCAAATCCACCAGCTGCTCCTTGGAAACCCTATGGGGGTAGTTTTATGAGTTGGAATAGACTTCATGGTAACGAGTAGGGCATAGAGGAGTGCTCACTTCCTACTTTTCTTTGCTGAAAATATCACACGAAAACATGTCTGCAACTGCACCAGGGAGATGAGTTTGGAGGTCTCTCCAGACAGAAGGTAAAGGCAGGAGCTTTGCTTTCAATTAATTTTTGCCCACGGCAGAGAGGTTTAGGGGAACAGGGAAAGAAGAGAGAAAATGGAAAGCCAGTGGCCGCTAGATGGCGCCAGGATTCTAGAACAGAATAGGAAATCAGGCCCCACTCGTAGCTCTTGGGAGGAAACCCAGGAGCTTGCACAGGAGCACAGAAGCCACCAGGGTGCACCAAGAAGGTCCTTTGAGGACATCTGGTCCAAGCCTTTCACTTAGCAGACGAGGTCGCAGAGCTCAGAGAGGTTAAGTGATTTACGTGAAGACATACATTAAACTGGTCCGCTAAGTAGGAGTTAGGGCCTGTTATCTTTCTGCTACTCGTCTTGCTAGACCCTAATCCTTGGGGAGATGAGGAAGGGAAAAAGAGAAAGAACCTAGGAAGGGAGCATAGAACACGGTGCCTGGCACACAGCAAACCAAAAACACCCAAACCTATCGCCGTCGAGTTGATTCTGACTCAGAGCTACCCTACAGGACACGGTAGAACTGCCCCCATATGGTTTCCAAGGAGTGGCTGGTGGATTCGAACTGCCGACCTTTTGGTTAGCAGCCAAGCTCTTAACCACTGTGCCACAGGACTAAGCAGTGCTCAATAAATATTAAACGCATGGATGGATGGAAGGGTGATCTATGGCTGATCATGAAGCAGAGAGAAATTACTATCACTGTTGCTGTTGTTAGCTGACAGCTGGGCAGAGCAGCATTATCTCATTTAATCCTCTCAAAGGCCCTCTGAAGGTGGCTTAGGTTTACAAACGTTTATCCAAAAATATTAGGGCCAGATGTGATTCAAAATTCAGAACTCTCTGGGGGTTCTGAAAGGTAACACTCTGTGTTTTCATACTGCATATGTCGTCCATGACATAGCATGCCCAGTTATGGCTGAGTCTGGGCCATCACCTTGTGAACAAATAAGGCAATGTTTCTGTAGCAAAGGCATAAATTCCCTCTTTTTGGTGCAGGTCAGACTTTGGCGCCAAATGAGCTTGCACCAAACTTAGGAAAAACCTTTCCATTTTCAGAGCTTTCAGCATTTTGGAATTGCAGATAAGGGATTGTGTGTGGACCAGTAGTACCATCATAAGGAGCCCCGGTGGTATAGTGGTCAAGCACTCAGCTGCTAACCGAAAGGTTGGCAGTTCGAACCCACCAGCCGCTCCTCGGGAGAAAGATGTGGCAGTCTGAAAGATTACAGCCTTGGAAACCCTATGGGGTAATTCTACTCTGTCCTACAGGGTCGCTATGAGTTGGAATTGTCTCGGCGGCAATGGGTTTTGACTACCATCATCCCCAGCTCACAGTCAGGCATCTGAGGCTCAGGGAGGTTAAGTACCTGGGCTAACATCACACGGACAGACTGCAAGCTGGGTTGGCTTGACTCCATGGTCCTTGCTCATGACACCATGACCTTGAACATTTAGGAGGGGGGTGGGGCCCAGAGAATGCACTTACTTGATGATATCTTGTTAACAGGATGGAGGGATCCAGTCTGTGGGGTCCACTTTGGGGTCACAAGTTCCCTGATGTCAGCCTTTGCTGTGGAGTTCTGGAGACCTCCTGTGAGCAGGGAGAAAAGGGATGGGCTGGGGGCTCTAGAATTTGGGCCTTTTAGAGGGTGAGGGGAATCCCTGGGTGGTGCAAGCGGTTAACGCACTTGGCTGCTAACTGAAAGGTTGAAGGTTTGAGTTCACCCAGAGGTGCCTCAGAAGAAAGGCCTGGCACTCTACTAAAAAAAGAAGCCATTGAGAACCCTATGGAGTACAGTTCTACTCTGAAACACATAGGGTCACCATGAGTTGGATCTGACTCAATGACAACTGGTGGTTAGGGAAGGAGGATGCCAGATGGGGCTGGGTCTCAGTCTAGGCCAGGAGCTGGCCCTGCCCCCGCATCCCAGCTGGCTCACCTCCACATGCAGGCAGGCTGCAGACCTGGACGGTGTCCGGCTTGTTCCCCTCGCACTGCCTGAGACCGTTGGCGTTGGTCCGGCACACTACCTGCCGCCGCTGGATGCCCTCTCCACAGGTGGCAGAGCACTGTCCACGGGAGGACCAGGGCCCGGCCACGGTGCCGGGGTGGGGAGGGTGGGGAGACAGAGGAAAGGCGGCAGTGAGGTCCAAAGTCCAGCCAATGCCCGGGGACACAAAAGGCACAAAGCATCGATTCTTCACTTGGCCAGAAGGGACATACAAGGACTTCTAGACAGCCATGCCAGGACGCCATACCAGTTGCCAAATACTCCTGTAAATAACTGCGGCCCTGAGCTTAGAACCCTGTGGACCTTTCCATGACCTCAAGGTCCCCTGGCACAAGAAGGGTCTTCTGGGACCCCAGCCAGCACTGCGTTATCCACTGCAGCGGGCCCATGTCTGGTTGTTAACTATCTTCTGTATCACCCTGGAAAACTCCCTGTTCCGGTTCACCACACTGCAGGTCCACCTCCTTGACGATATCTTGTTAACGGGATGGGGGGCCCAGACTCTGGCACCACTTCCCCTCTGGCTCACTTTCCAAATCTATAAACCAAAAGAGTTGGGTGGCAGAGTCTCCACAGACCCCTCTGGCTCTGACATTCAATGACTTTTGTAACCTGACTTGCCAAGAATCAGCTTGCAGACATATTTTCAAGAGTCTTCTTTGCTGAGCGGGAAAGTGGGTGCCAGGAGTAGAAGATGAACACAGGACTACTGTTTGCAAGGGCTGCCCCGACACCATGCCCTGGACCTCACACTTCTTACTCCAGTAAACGGGGAGTGTGAGGTGCTGAGGGGCGGGGGCTCCCAGAAAAGAAAGTTTGTCCAATGTGACCAGGTCACCGGGCTGTCCTAGTGCTGACAATGGCCTCTCCCAGCTGGGTGAGGAACAACTTGTAGGGCCCCACCTCTCATACTGGGGCCAGAGACAACCCAAGGGAGACAGCAGGGGTCATGGCCCACAGAGCCACAGGCCTGGCTCACCCTCCCAAGACGAATAACTATGAAGGGCAGCTGATATCGTGAGAGCTTTGTCAGTCTTACAAGGGGCAAATGTCTCCCTCCACCCGTCATCTCTCTGTTCATTTTGTCTATGGGGTCCTTTGTGGACCCAAAATCTTTCTGTTTTCTGTTAAAACAAATAAAGCTATATATGATGGGGAAGAATATAAAATCTGTATGAGTTGGGTGGAGATTTGGGGTTATGTAAGCATATTTTTTATTACACAATATTTTAAACATACAGAAAAGTATGGAGGAAAAGCTAAAGAAAGCCCATTCAAATGCCATCCCCCGTTTTAATAGATGCGCATTCTGGCACATTTTCAAATATTGCCCTATGTCTTTTTAAACTTCAGGTAAATGGCATCCCATTGGAAATATCAGATGGCAGTGCTTTTTTTTTCCTCACCTAAATTTATTTTTCTGATTTATCTATATTAATAAGTACAGTTCAAGTGTCTTCATTTTTCTTGCTGCATATTATTTTATTATATGAACAGACCATAATTTCTCTGTCTAATCTGCTCTAGATCAACCTTGGCATGTTTCCTGGTGTTATTCTATTACAACAGCATCGCTGCGCTTGTTGCCTTGATTAAATGAATTTTTAAGAGAAAACCCAAAACATTAAAAAAAATTCCCCTTGTGGCAACCTCCAGGGCCCAAGGCACTAGCAACTCTCACCTGGATCACTCAACAGCCTTCCTACCGTCTCCTTTTTTCTGCCTTGGCCTCCCAACAACAAACTCTCTACAGAGCTATCTAAGTGATCTTTTAAACCTGAAATCCGATGTTAAAACCCTCCGTGGTGTTAGGGGTTGAATTGTGTCCCTTACTCACCCAAATACGTTGAAGCCCTAAACCCCAGGACCTGTGAACATGAACTTGTTTGGAAATAGGGTCTTTGCAGATGTTATTAGTTAGGTTAACATGAGATCATACTGGAATAGGGTGGGCCCTAATCTGGTATGAGTGGTGTCTTTATACAAAGAGAAGAGCCACTGAGGGGAGAAGACCACGTGAAGACGGAGGCAGAGATTGGAGTGAGGCATCTACGAGCCAAAGAACACCCAAGGTTGCCAAGAACCATGGGAACTACTCCACCAGTAGCTGGAAGAGGCAAGGGAGGATCTTCCCCTAGAGCCTTCAGAGGCAGCATGGACCGGTCAACACCTTGACTTTGGACTTCTAGCCTCCAGAACTGTGAGACAATCAATTCCTGCTGTTTTAAGCCACCCGGTTTGTAGGGAGCCCTCAGGAAACAAATGCAAATGTTTCCTACTGTTCTTAGAATAAACTCTTAACTCCTTACAGGGCGCTGCACTATTTGACCCCTGCTTACCTCTCCAATGTCATCTGCTAGCTCCTGCCCCTCCCATTAAGCTCCAGCCTCACTGTACTTTTGGTTTCTGGAACACTGCAGGTTGTTCCTGTCTCAAGGTCTTTGCTCATCCCTCAGCTTGAACACCACCTCCCCGGAGAAGCCCGCCCTAGATCTCATGACCCGTTGCTTGCTGCTGGCACCACTCCACTCTGCAAGTCTTGTGCCATTGGTTCACTTGTCTAGGCCATGCCCCTAGCTGGACTGTAAAGTCCAGGAGGGCAAGAATCAGTCTGTCTGGTTGATGCTGGATTCCTGGCATTCCTAGCGCAATGCCCAGTAGGTAGCTGGTGCTCTGTGGATATTTCTTAAATGAACAAAAGCGCTTTAATTTGCTCATCTGTAACGTGGGGCTATTAGCCGTGCCTCGCAGCTCTGTGTGAGCTCAAAGGAGACAGTAAATGAATGTCAGGGCCCAGCACAGAGCTGTGCCACAGTAGTCGGGGTGGGGTACTCCGCTTTATTTTAAGAAGAACCCTATCAGATCTGCGAAGAAAGAAATTCAGCCAGAAGCTGTCTGCCTGCAGGGAGCGCTAGATCTCTCAGAAGCTCCCCGCCTCCCCTGACCCCTGCCACCGTGCCTCCCCCGACCCAGACGACCTCCTCCCTCAGCCTCCTAGAAGGTGCCCCTCTGGCCCAGCCTCTCCCACCCTCCTGAAGGTGACTCACCTGGGACCAGGCTCCGGTGCGCCACTGGGCTGGACAGGGCACGCGGAGGCAGGGCTGCCGGCCCTCAGGCCGGTCCCCGGGGCAGGCCTTAGCTGGCATGGCCTTGCGGGTGCCGTTGGATAGGGGCAGCAGGCACTGCACACCCCGAGTCTGTACCCCCAGCTTCCCGCAGCTCCTGCTGCAGGCGCTCCACTCCTCTGTCACCCACCTGGAGACAGACAGGGCAGAGGGTAGGGCAATGGGACCATGAGACATTTCCTCCCAGGGGGCTGACTCCCACCCCCCAAAACAGCTGCAGGCAGGAACCAGAGTATGGGTTTGGGCTTCAGGATGCCTGGGGGCCAAGACAACTGTCCTCCTGGCTCTACAGTGCCTGCCTGGGTGGCCTTAGGGAAGACACTATTCCTTTGTGCTCTCGGTCTCCTCATCTGAAAAATGGGTATAGTGCAGATTTAAATGCCGGCACCAAGTGTCCTTGGACAAGCTATTAATGCCTCTAAGCCTCATAAAAAAACAAACAAACAAAAAAACCAAACCCACTGCCTTCAAGTTGGTTCCAACTCATGATGGCCCCATGTGTTACAGAGTAGAACTGTGCTCCATAGGGTTGTCTTGGCTGTAATCTTTATGGAAGCAGATCACCAGGCCTTTCTTCCACAGCATCGCTAGGTGGGTTCGAACTGTCAACCTTTAGGTTGATAGCTGAGCGCAAACCATTTGTACCACCCAGGGACAAGCCTCAGTTACCCCATCTGTAAATCAGGATTCTTTCAACACTCCATAAATATTTGAGTGTCTACTGTGGGCAGGCACTGTCCTGGGTGCTGAGAGAGAGCCGTGCACAAACCCGATAAAAGCCACTGTCCCATGAGGATAATAGTAGAAAGCCCCTCCTCTCTGATGGGGCCCTTGGGACAATTACAGGACTTCATATCTGTAAAGAACTTGGCAGGTGCCTGGCAGGCAACGTTGTTGTTAAAAAAAAAAAAAAAAACCATTGCCATTGAGTGGATTCCAACTCATAGCAATTCTATAGAACAGAGAACTGCCCCACTGGGTTTCCAAAGGAGCAGCTGGTGGATTTGAACTGCCAACCTTTTGGTTAGCAGCCAAACTCTTAACCACTGCACCACCAGGGCTCCTTTGTTGTTGTTAGGTGCTGTAAGTTGATTTCGACTCATAATGACCCCACGTGACAGAGTAGAACCGCCGCCCTGCAGGGTTTCCTAGAATGCAATCTTTATGGAAGCAGATTGCCAGGTCTTTCTCCCATGGAGCCACTGGGTGGGTTCAAACTGCCGACCTTATGGTTAACCGTTTGTGCCACCAGGGCTCCTTGTGGCATGCAGTAGGCACTTAATAAGGACAGGCACTATCACTACCATTCTCTTCACCCACAGCGCTTTAGCTCTGATCATCTAAGTTCACGGTCTCCAGACATCTTTTAGCCACAAGCCCCTTTTCAAATATCTTCAAAAGCTTCATAAGCAGAAGGCCATTGGCTGCGTGGGAGAAAAAGCAAAGCTTTTGTTTCTGCTCCAAACTCCTACTCACTCAGTTTCCCCGTGCACCTTTTAGTAGTAAACCCGGCCTCTTTCAGGCACATTTTCAAAGCCAACCCCTTCCTTTTAAAAACAAAAATCTGGCAACTTCACAGATGAGGAGACAAGCCGGGGAGGGAGTGGTGGGGGTGGCCTGCCCCCTACCACGTGGCCAGCTCTGCTCACCCACTGCATACTCTGTGGTCACGGCATTTGTGGGGAAGTAGTCTGAATAACAGTAGAAAGCAGGAAGTCCCAGAGAAGCGTGGAGGGGCTGGTTAAGAAGGCCTCCTGGGCGGGCGGAGGAGGGCTGAGGCTGGGGGCAGGGCACCTGCTGGCCCCTAGCTCCCGCCTGTGCCCCTGTGCTCACTGAGGGAGCAGGAGCTGTTGTCCCATCAAGGCCGAGTCAGCACTCCCGCCCCCACCCAGGGAGGACTCCTGCGGAGGCAGGAGGGCAGATGCAGCCCTCTGCGGTTTCCTCCCAGCCAGCACTCTCAGCTCTGCCTCAGGGAGACAGAGGACCTGGGTGGGGCTGAAGAGGCCCTGGGCCGGCTCTACAACAGGCTCAGAGAGGCCTGACCTTGATTCCTCCGCAAATCACAGCTCCTTCCTCTCCCTGAAGTCCCCTCCAAATAATCCCAAGGACATGCCCTTGTGCTCAGAAGAGCCTGTCTCCTCAGGAGGAATGCCAATCAGGGGCTAGAGCACGGCTGGGCGGTTGGCAGGCAGCCCCAGATGACCCGGGAGAGAGGAGCTTTGTCCTGCAGGGGCCTGGGACCTGGGAGCACTGAGGTCCTTTCACCTGTAGGAACCAGCCAGATCACTGACAAAAACCAAGTCTCCAAAATGGGCCTCAGTTTTCCAATCTGTAAAAGAAACCTGGGAGGGCAGAGCAAAGGAAGCATCTTCTTTCTCCTGGGAGTGGAAGTTAATCACCCAGAAGCCCCCGAGGGGACAGAGGGGTGGGGGGGCTGCTGCCCTCGCTCAGGGAGATGGGCTGCCGGGCTGCCTGCCTCCACGCTGGGCAGCCACTCCTTCTAGGGCCAGGACTGAGAGAGGGTCTACGACACCCCGGCGGGGGACAGGAACACTCACGCGGGCGGCTGGGTGCACGGGCGCTTGTTGCAGCGCCGCCGGATGGGCTTGGGCCTCTTTCTGTTGTCACACAGGTGCCGCTGCACCATGTGGTGGTCCCGGCGGCGCCGGCAGCCATATCTGGTGAACTGGATACCTGGGGGAGGGCAGGCTGCCATGGACCTGGTCCACGAGTGCCTCACTGCCCTGCCTGGGGCCCCAGGGACAGCAACCTCTGCAGAGTCTGAGGGCCAATCCACCTCCCTTTGGGCCTTTGCACCGCCTTTTGCCCAGGTCACTTTGTGAAGGAGACCTTCTTTCATCAGTGCCCCAGGTGGTTCCGGTGGGCACATGGCATTGGACAGCTGCCTCTGCACAGCCCATGAGCTCTTACAGGGCAGAGGCCCTGCTCTGGATACTCCCCTAGCACCTTCCTAACCCTGTACCCAGGGCCCTGCCCAGAATGGACTTCCAAGGAGAAACCGAGGCAAGAGCTGCACACTCTGGCAGCAGAAATGGTGAGCTAGGGGGACCTGGCTGAGGCAGCCTGTGGGACTCTGAGATGGAAACAATGTAGCCCCTGACCTGCCCTGGGTACTCCCAGCTCCCTTCTCCTCTGAGAGGCCCCGGGCTGCCCCACAAGCCAGCTGGGAGGCCAGGGTGCCGGGCCAGGTGGGCGGTACCTCCTCCACAGGCCTTAGTGCAGGGGGCCCAGCTCTTGAGCGCCCACTCGTAGGTGTCCGTCTCCTCCAGGAGCACGTTGTTGCTTCCAATAAGGGGCAGCAGGTCCTCG